CACTAATATTAAGATAAATGATGAGCAACTGGAGGTAGTACATGAAGCGAAGAGCCTAGGGGTAATTTTAGATGAAGACTTGAGATTTGAAAAGCATGTAGCTCAACTTGTCAATCGTGCATATTACTCACTTAAAGTTATTTATGGCAACAAGTATTTTTTACCACCTAAAGTGAGAACAACATTATGTGAAGCCTTGGTCCTATCTGTTTTCAATTATGCCGATGTATTGTATGGCCCATGTTTAACCGTTCAGTTCAAACAAGAAATCCAAAAGGTTCAGAACTCATGCCTACGATTTATTTTTGGTATCCGAAAGAAAGAGAGAATATCTCACAAATTGAAAACTATCGGATGGTTAGACATGGAAAATAGGAGAAAACTACATGCTGCCACTTTATTCCACAAGATAATCATGGAAAAAAACCCTCCTTACCTACATGAGAAAATTTCGTTTAGAACTGACGTGCATAATCTTAATATAAGGCACAAAGGCCGACTTACCCCTCCAATATTTCGTTTGGAGATTTTTCGAAGATGTTTCACGTACCAGATATATGCAATGTATGAATGTACGGCATTCCTGATTCAATCAAACAGAAAAATGTGTATCGGTTCAAAAATGAATTCACTGAATTTCTTTTGCGGTAACTGATTCTAACATTCAAACAACCTATCTCATCCCTATGTTATTAATATCACCCCTAATAATAACTACCATTTAGCGATTATATTTGATTATTATTTATATTCTTCATAGAAGCATTAAGCGATATGTTCTAGGTTGAGTGGAAGAGCAATCTCAATGGTGATTCGTCACTATTGAAATTGAACTCCGCCTTTAATTTTCTTCCGAAGTTAAATATGTTATATATATATATATATATATATATTATTTTTATTCCAATGAATGTACCGTTGAAGAGGAAGAAAATAATAAAGACGATATTATTATTATTATTATTATTACTTTAAATTCATATAATTCCAGTCACGACCCTGCGGCCTCCGACGTCACGCAGAGTCGTGCTGGATAAAATCCAGTGACTACTCCTCACAGCCTGTGAGGTGAGTAATCACTGGGACCAAGTACCGTGTGCCCTGAGTAGACGCAATGATCCGAGTATGACGGCCTTCTGCATTCCACCAGCCAAGATGTGTGCCTTATCACGGCACGCTGGGATTTTCTGGATCTCCGAGAGCAGCGTGTGTCGTGTGCCTCCTAGGGAGCCGATTATCAGGATGACCAATTCCACAGAATGGTCTGGATAGAGCCGGCGGAGTTCGAAGAGAAGATCTCGATATTTAGTCCGTTTTTCCTCCTCCTTCAAAACGATGTTCGGTTCGGCTGGCGCCGAAAACTCGATCACGAACATCGCTTTGGTTTGATGGTCGAGGAGGACTACATCAGGCTTGTTAGCTTGAATTTGCCTGAGGGTGGGGAATGAGAAGTTCCAATAAATTCGGCACCTCTCATTCTCCACAACGGACTCAATATCCCCCGGAGCATAGGGCAGCACTGGGGTCTCGTCTATTCCGTACGAGTGCCTCAAATAGTAGTAGAGCACTCGCAATGCCGCATTGTGTCTATGGATATAGGCCGAGACTGCATACACCGTGCAAGAAGACAGCAGGTGCATAATTGTCTCGGGCGCCCTGCGGCAGGCCCTGCAACTTGTGTCAGGGACCTCCATACCCATGACACGGCTACGGTAGACGAGAGTGTTAAAAACCCCATCCTGGCATGCCATGATGAACCCCTCTGTTTCCGATTTGAGCCCGCCTGACTTCAGAAAAGCAAAAGTCAGTTCTTTGGATAAGCCCCGGTCTTCAATGGTCTTGAAGTAGACCGAATGCATGGGCTTATCCATGTGAAGCTGCAGGAGCTTTTTCACTTCTGCAGCTTTGATGCGGGCTTTTCTCCGAGCGGGTTCTAGCTCAGTAACTGAGTCCTGAGCCTCGCGCTCGGAGTCGAAAATCAGAGACAATTCATCGGCTGCTCGACGTGCTGCCCTGAAAAGAAAAGCTCCTACTCCTGCCTCTTCATGGGTTTTAACCATTTGCAGAAGGGGGTCCGAACTCCTAATGACTTTGCAGGCGCCATCCAGAACCATTCTGTTATGGAGATACTCCAAGCTCAAGAGTCCACGGCCACCCTGGTCTCTAGGTATGTATAACCGTGGAACGGACGAATTTGGATGCAGACTCCTATGGAGATGCATCATCTTGCGAGTACTTACGTCAAGTTGTCGCAGCTCGACTTGAGTCCACTTTATCACTCCAAATGAGTAAAGTAGGATCGGAACAGCAAGCATGTTAGTCGCAGCGACTTTGTTCTTCCCCGACAGTTCTGACGACCAGATCTGTCGGAGCCGCTGCCGATACTTGCTGCGGAGAGCGTCTTTTACCCGTTGTGCCTCCTGGATGTGAGTTTCCTCTACACCCAGGTAGGTGTACGTCTCTCCGGCATCCAGGTGGTGTAGGATGCTTCCGTCCACGAGTTGCGCGTCCTTGTCGTAGTTCTCGCATCGTCCTCTCTTGAGATGAACCAGTGCACATTTGTCCATTCCGAATTCCATTCCAATTGCCTGCGTGTACTCCTGTACCACCCTGAGGGATTGGTCCATATCCCTCTCACCAGAGGCATAAAGTTTGAGGTCATCCACATAGAATAAGTGAGTGACTTTATGCCTCCGGTAACTGGGTGGGCCGCAGTTGTATCCTCTGGTTTTGCGGAGCTCAACGGATAGTGGCAGAAGTGAGATGCAGAATAGGAGTGGGCTAAGGGAGTCCCCTTGAAATACTCCTCTCCTTATGATGACTGGCTCTGTCTGAACTCTCGCATTACCTGATGTTATAGTAAAGCGGGTCTTCCAGACCAGCATCAGTTGTTCTATGCATCTCACTATAGAATCGGGTACCGAGAGACACTTGAGCAAGTACACGAGTAACTCATGTGACGTTGTGTCAAATGCCTTTCGGTAATCGATCCAGGCCACAGAAAGATTCCGCTTGTACTGCACGGAGTCCTGTGTGATAGATCTATCTATCAACAGGTTCTCCTTGCAGCCAGCGACACCTCTCTTTGACCCACGCTGCTCAAAAATCCGTTGGTAAACCGGGTCAACTACTAGGAGTACTCGCATGTACAAGATGCGCGTGAACAACTTGTAACATGCATTCAGACAGGTAATTGGTCGGTAATTCTTTGGATTGGACAAATCTCCAGTCTTAGGAAGAAGCACGGTTCGCCCCTCGATAAACCACTCAGGGATTTGCTGCTCCCCATTCAGCCAGCTATCAAATATACTGGCTAAATGGTGGTGGGTGGAGGGTAACTTTTTCCACCAAAAGTTATTGATCCCGTCGGGACCAGGAGCAGCAAAGTTCTTGGAGCCTTTGAGGGCTTCTCGAACCTCCTCAGTGGTTATCGGTTGGCGCAGTAATTCGGGCTCAGGCTCTCGATATCTTTCGCAGAAGATACCGAACTGCGCCAGGGCTGGAGTATCTCTGTTGAATGGACGTCTCACCTCATAAATACCCTTCCAAAAGGTTTCCACCTGATCAGCAGTCGGCGGATTGTCAACCACACTTGGAGGCGGTTGAAATAAGCGAGAGGGCTTTTCGCGGAATTGTTTATTTTCCGCCAGCCCTCTCGCTCGCCTCTTTAGTGACTGTTTTGCAGCCACTAACATCCGTATCCTTTCGAGGCAGTGCTGTTTGATGGTGGATAGCACTGCCTCATTTAGTGTGTGATGGGTGCGACGCAATGTATTGGCCATCCGTCGCACCTTCGACGTGAATGGCCTGTTGGCCCTCACATAATCCATCACACACTGGATTATTATTATTATTATTATTATTATTATTATTATTATTATTATTATATACTCGCACCAACATTCATGCATTCACTGACAAGAAATGTAATTCACCAGCAACAATTAATCTGACAGTCCAGAGCACACTTTTCATGAATGAAATAATATTTGGAATCCCCTATACCGAGACTTATTTGTTCAAATGTGTTTTTCTCGAAAACAGATGAAGATATATTTTTAAATTTTTAAACAGGAGTATCAATATTACGTGAAAACGATGTTCATGTTATATTTTCTAATCAAAGTCACTAAAAAAATTCGTTAAAGAAAGTTATCAGTCGATTTCATCTTCAGGAATCATTCATGTGCCTCTGTGCCGATTTTGAAAACAATTATTGATAAATATACAGTGGAATTATTAGCAAAGAACAAACAAAATATTCAACTTTAACGCCCAGTATCTACACGTTGGGAGACAACACAACCTGACGCAAAAATCTACAACTTTTTTAATTCCCTTGTATAATAAACAATTATTTCCAAAAATTCACTTTTTTCGATATAACTGGAAAACTATCAATGATTTTGAAAATTTTCGAAGGCTGTAGATTGATCATCTGAATGCTCAACTTTTTTCCCATTTCACCGTTTCCGAGATCCCTACACTGTGCAAACTTTCGTTGGTCGTATACTGCATATAAGGTAACTGTGGGTAATAACGCCCAGTGGGTAGTTACGCCCAGTTATAAAATTCCCGGCACAATGACACTCACGAATACATTATGCGGCTGCATTTCATTTACAATTGTACAATTTGTACACCTTACATGTATACTGACGCAGCCGCATATTGTTTTATTTACAACCATAATATATATGTAATGTTGTCATTACTAACGTCATTGAAGGTTGGGAAGTGTCATATAGTACACACCTCTACTTCCCGCCCTCACTCATGTAATAATTCAAGTATGTTCAGAACGCTTTGCGTCTCGGTTAACTAACTAATCTCACGACAGGAATGAATCACTTCCCACCTCGGTGTGTAATATACCTCTGTGTCAATATGGTGGAAACTTTCAACCTGGGCGTTATTACCCACAGTTACCTTCTACCAATTGAACTCATTGAACAATTTGTGCTATTTATAGCGTAATCACATAGACGTACCTGTTTCAGGCGTATTCAACTTGATCCCGAGCATGGAACTTCTCCGGATCCACAACAACAAGATCGACTTTATCGAGAACCAGGCCTTCGCTAACCTTTCCTCCCTAAAAAAGGTCTTCGGCAGCGACAACGCCCTGGAATATTGGCACAGGGAATGGTTCGACGACTCCCCCAATCTGGAAATCATGGATTTCCAGAATAACAAAATCCGCACCATCCCAAGAAAAGCCTTCGCGGCGCTGCAGAAGCTCAAGCAGATCTACTTCGACTACAACGAGATAGCCACCATCCAATCAGAAGCCTTCGTAGGTCTGAAAAACCTGGAGTACTTGGGCCTGAGAAACAATAGACTGAAGGCTATCGAAGAGCACATCTTTCCCACTGGTCTCAAGATCAGGTCACTGCTGATCAGCGCCAACTATCTCAACTATCTATCCAACGAGGTGCTGAAGAAGATATCAGTCTCTGACATCGTCCTGGAGTATAATCCTTGGAAGTGTCCATGCTTGGACAGAATACACTACTGGATTTATACGAACAATGGTACCCTGAGAACCACGGAACAGTGTAAATCGAGTTATGTTCCGATTTGCGCTTACCCCAAAAGTTTTTCACAAACCTGTTTGGAATACGTTGATGAAGAGTTGACCCAGAGATATATAGGCATGTTGAGGAATCTTTCTGCGCACTTGGATGACCATTGCGCTAGACTGGACTAGAAACATCCGATATTTTATTATAAAAGTGTATATATACAGGGTGTTTCAAAAAAACCTGACCCCCTTGCTAGGGTAGGTAGATCCATAGAAATTATATGGGTTTGCTCAGTGAGAAAATGTCTTAACGGCATCCGTTTCCATGATACAAGGTGTTGAAAAAATTACTTTTTTTCATCGCATGAATTTGTTTTTATATCTGACTCTCATAGAGGGCGCTAGTTACACGGTTCGTACCGAGTACGTAGTTTAGAACATAACTTTTTTGAGGTTAGATTTCCCAATCCAAATATGATATGAACTCAAACCTCATTCAATTTTACACCAAAAAGGAACTCTTGGTGAAACTCGATACTATGTTCCGTTTTCGGAATATTTTGATTCGAAAATATTGGAGTAGTATTGATGCTGGTATAAAATGAATTTTATTGAGTTTAAAACCTATTTATTCAGATTCAAAAACAATAGGATCATTCTTGTGCTGAAGTTATTGATGGAACAAAGAATCATGAGTTGAAAATTAGGAGATATTTGACAAGAAACATGAAATATTGAATCAGTAAGTGTTAAAAATGTCCTACGTTTCGACGAATACACGATTCTATATTCTTTTATTAAGAATGTATTATTATTTTAAACAGTTGAGGATCAGGTGTTAGGTCATTTCAATTATGTCTCACAACTCTTGACGTGAATTTACCTATGTAGCTTAGACTTTCTGCTCAAAATACAACAAAACTGTGTAATCCATGATCTTAGTCAAATCTGTTTCGATGTTATTCTTGTGATTCTTTGTTAAATCAATAAGTTTAGCATCAGAAATGTATTGCTGTTTTCGGTTTTCAATAAATAGGTGATAATTTTTCATAATACTCGCTCTATTACATAGCTTTATACCAGCAACAGTTATCACTTGATCATTTTCTAATCGAAATATTTCGAAAACGGAACACAGTATCGAGTTTTACCAAGAGTACCTTTTAGGTGTGAAATTGGATGATGTTCAAGTTCACATCAAATTTGAATTGAAAAATCTGACCTTCAAAAAGTTATGTTCATAACTACTCGGTAAGAACCGTGTAACTAGCGCCCTCTATGAGAGTCAGATATAGAAACAAAGGCATGCGATGTGTCAGATTCCAAGAAACATCCATACAAAATTTCATCACAATGTTGCCAGTAGTTTCGACATAATCTTGAAAAATGTGTAAAAAATCCTTTTTTCAACACCTTGTATCTTGATAACGGATGCCGTAACGAAATTTTTTTACTGAGTAAACCCAACTTATTTTGCAGTGTTCTACCTACCCTAGTAAGGGGGTCAGGTTTTTTTGAAACACCCTGTATATTGTGATATATGTCGTGTATAATGTAGGCATTATAGACTATCAAATTTGTGTAAATACATGGAATAGACAACATTATAGTCTCGAGACCTCGAAGATTCTTTTCGAAATCTCAGAACATTCACTGTTTTTTCTATAAAAGGTTCAGTCGCATTGACCTTCACGATCCCAAGAAATAAAAACTTTTAGGCACGGTGAGTACTCAAGCAGACTACGAGATAGCCATTATCCAATTGAAAACCTTATAGTAGGTCTGAAGAATCTGAAATACTTGGACCTGAGGAACAACAGGCTGAAAGATATCGAAGAGAACTCTTATTCTTTCCGACTGGTCTCAAGATCAGGTCTCTGAAGCTGATAAGCGCCAACTATCTCAACTAGCTATCTAGCGAGGTGCTGAAGAAGATATCAGTATATGACATCGTCCTGGAGTGCAATCCTTGGAAGTTTCCATGTTTGGACAGAATTCACTACGGGATTTATACGAACAATGGTACCCTGACAACCACGGAACAGTGTAAATCGAGTTATGTTCCGATTTGCGCTTACCCCAAAAGTTTTTCACAAACCTGTTTGGAATACGTTGATGAAGAGTTGTCCCAGAGATATATAGGCATGTTGAGGAATCTTTATGCGCACTTGGATGACTATTGCGCCAGACTGGACTAGAAACATTCGATATATTATTATAAGTGTATATATATTGTGATATTATATGTGTATAATGTAGGCATTCTTTTCGAAATCTTAGAACATTCACTGTATTTTCTATAAAAGGTTCAGTCGCATTGACCTTCACGATCCCAAGAAATAAAAACTTTTAGGCACGGTGAGTACTCAAGCAGACTACGAGATAGCCATTATCCAATTGAAAACCTTATAGTAGGTCTGAAGAATCTGAAATACTTGGACCTGAGGAACAACAGGCTGAAAGATATCGAAGAGAACTCTTATTCTTTCCGACTGGTCTCAAGATCAGGTCTCTGAAGCTGATAAGCGCCAACTATCTCAACTACCTATCTAGCGAGGTGCTGAAGAAGATATCAGTATATGACATCGTCCTGGAGTGCAATCCTTGGAAGTGTCCATGTTTGGACAGAATTCACTACTGATTTTATACGAACAATGGTACCCTGAGAACCACGGAACAGTGTAAATCGAGTTATGTTCCGATTTGCGCTCACGCCAAAAGTTTTTCACAAACCTGCTTGGAATAGGTTGATGAAGAGTTGACCCAGAGATATATAGGCATGTTGAGGAATCTTTCTGCGCACTTGGATGATTATTGCGCTAGACTGGACTAGAAACATTCGATTAATTACAATAAAAGTGTATATATTGTGATATTATATGTGTATAATATAGGCATTGACTATCTAAATTGTGTAAATTCATGGAATAGACTAACATTATAGTCTGGAGACATAGAAGATTCTTTTCGTAATCTTAAAACATTCACTGTTTGTTCTATAAAAGGTTCAGTCTCACTGATCTTCACGATCCCAAGAAATGAACCCTTATATATATATAGGCACTGTGAGTACTCAAGCAGACTGCGAAATAGACATCATGATGAAAATTAATAAGTAGGTACTGTGTTTTTTTCTCAACCACGCTTTTCTGTCGATTTCTATCCAACAAAAAATGTACATACAAAAAATTAATTCACAAAAATCCAGTTGAAAGTTGAATTATCAGCCAGGTCGACATTGAAAATTCATAGGAATGTTTTTGTTTCATATTTTTTCAATGAATCGGTAAAAGCACAGATTAACAAACCTTATGTTAATCTGTGGTAAAAGTAAGTGTACCATGCAAATTGAAGAGCACTTGATATGTCGTCTTGTCTGATCCTTCTGAATCTGACAAATTATTCCGAGAAAAGTGATCACAAAGTGAACATTTTTGATATAACAATAAAATAGGCAGTCGGTATCTGTATTTCATTCTTCATAATAATTATACCATCTTGAATATTTAAATAAAGAAACGCCGCTGCCAAATTTCAGCAAATTATGATAAATCATTTCTGAAATATCCGCCATCAAAGTTATATGACCAAATTGTCACATTATATGTACAAGGTGAGTCATGACTAACCAGCCATAGCCTAATGGTAGATAAAGGAAGTCAAGGTGAGTTTATACAGTGCTAGTCAAAAGTCCCCTCCCCCCCTCGTATCTTTTGAACGGGTATACTTATAATAATGGCCTTGTGACGTCATTTATGACTATTGCGTCACCTGTTATGACCAGTTGAGAAGCCTACATCCGTTTATTTCCACCCTCCAAATTTCATTATTATAAGTATACCCGTTCAAAAGATACGAGGGGGGGAGGGGACTTTTGACTAGCGCACTGTATATATGTGAAAAATATATGTTGCCTATTCCTAACAGAAAAACAGGGCATTACTTGAATTTTGGGCGAAACTTTGATGAACGATATTTCAGGAACGTCTCGATGTTATCGACTGAAATTTACCAGCAACTCACCTCTACTGACACACCACACGATGGCATACTGTGGAAAAAAAATCCAGAGCCGGACTTGGAAAACTCTTTTTCTTTTAAAATGTCAAAATTTCGACTTTCTGAATCTTATTTTTCAAAAATTTTCATCAGAATCAGAAAGATCAGGAAAAACACTACAAGTGTAGCTTCTCAATTCGTACGGCACACTTTCACAGGATTGATGAAAAAATATAGAACAAAATACTGATGAACGATTCCCTGATTTCGTACTGGCTATCAGGGGCGGATAGTACAAGCCCGCAAAGCCAGGGCCTGTAGCGCTAAATCCCTGAGGGCGAAAAAATTTCCGAATACTTTTCAAACAAATCATTGGATCAGAAACCAAATTATATATTTTCTTATGTGGGTACTTTATACTATAACTATACAACATATTTTTAAAATCGCACTGATTGCGAAAAATTATCCAAAGTAGCAACTCTATAGCAGCCCCCGTAGTTCTCCTCCTAAAAGTCATTGCGCATAAATGGCAACATTTGGCAACGCTACGCTGTATCAGCGGCATGTTTCGAGACATCTATCTATTTGGGGAATACCAGGACACAGAAATATTGCAGTTATGCACTTCGCGCTGCTATACATTTGCAGATATCATTGTCTTAGATCTGCTATGATAATATCGTGTTTCTTTCGTATTTTCATCATGAGCGGCTTGAATAAAAAATAAAGTGCCGTTGAATATCGAAAAAAAGCTAGAAATAAGGCAGAACAACATCAGCAAAGCAGTTACTAACTGTTCAGGAGAAAGATCTTTCTCGACACTCAGGAGAATTAAAAATTTTTTGAGGTCGAAGTTATTGGATTCCGAACTGAGCGACTTAGAATCAGACTTGCTCAAAAATTCAGAAGTAAACAGTTAGTAGGTTTTCAGTGTCTGATATCATTTTAAATGAAATATGTATAACACTGTCGCCAGTTTTGTGTGTCTCATATATAAACTGAATGACACATAGAGAAGGGGGGCGCGAAATCATGCATGGACTTTGGGCGCCTTCGAATGTTAATCCGTCCCTGCTGGCTATTGTAGTCACATCGTTCAACAAATGCATTTGAATCCATTTCTTGCATATCAGCGTATTATAAGAGTTGGAAAAAGGCTCTATTCGATGAAAAATTCCAGGACCAGACTTTCAAATCATGGAAATGAGAACCTAATTTTCCAAAAAAAATCCAATACCTACCTCCTCTCCCTATCCTCCCTAAGTACGCACAATGTTCTCCGAACATTGTAGGAATTTTCTTTCGTGCGCTCCAAGAGATAAAAATGTAAAAAAAATGCTTAGGTAAAATATTTTTTTCTACAAACGTCAGTAAAAGTATTATTTTTGACGCATGCTGTCAGTGTCTAAAATGTCATTTTATGACACTGGTGTTAAAAGTGAATTACTTTCAGCACTGGTGTTAAAAGTGATTTATGTTTGAGAGAAAATATAGAAGGAAAACTCGTACTGCCGCTTTGACCAACTAGGCAATAACTCAAAAGCAGCTATACTGGCAGCATCTTCAATTTCCGGCGGTAGAAATTCATTTTCTTGATCACTCTCCATCGAGGAACGAAGAACCGAGAAAGAATAATTTGTGATTCATTGACGTTAGTTGTCAACAAAGACAAATCAACAAATTCGGTTTTTGTGTAGGTACCTACTTTGAACTTCCATTGGTGTTTGTCTATTATAGACCTCTAATCATATTCGTGATAGAGTCTCAATTCAGAATTTCTTTCCACGCCCTGTATAATGAATGTCAATTTGTCATACCTACACCCAAAAACAAACACGAAGTTTAATCAAAATCGGCGAACAGTATTTTGAGTTGAAAAACCGATATTTCATTAAACTTTGGACACCCCGTTACTCGGAAACGGAGCAAGTTAGAACACACGTTTATATGAACTTTTTGTCATGAAATATGACAAGAAATCACCACCTGAAATTAAAGTCATCATTAATTTACACCCTGTAATGTTTTGTTATTCTCTCCAAAAACCAAGTCCGGTCCTGATTTTTCATGAATAATACTCTTTCTCAATTCTGCTAAAAAAATCGTTCTAAAATTGTTCTATCCGTCATTCGGTTGCCCCCTTAGGAGCAACCCTCAGAAGTTTTCGAGAGTCTTCTGCAGTCGCTGAGAATTGAAACCACGGCCGGCAAGCCAATGCGGATCAGAATACTGACACTCTGTCCGCACGGCTACCTGGCTGCTATATCAATATTCAGAAAACTGATTCAAACACTTTTAGAGAGTAAGGGGCCGGACAAAATCAAAGAAATATTCGTCTTAAGTTCTCCTCATAACTCACCCTGTATAAAAGATTTCTCTAAGAATCTCAAATAGATTGGGTTAGTTGCTTTCAAATGCGATATTTCCATATTTCTTTCTGAAACAGACCAATTAAGTCATTCATGCAAATGAAATTCAATATAATTCGACATCTTTTAATATTATAATATACAGAAATGCTTATTTACACAATATGTGCAAATAACACCAATAGCATTGCAAAAATTCAAGGAATTTACAAAGTCACGAATTGTACTTATGCTTTTTACAATGCTACTATTTTTAATAGTACAGATTTTAAATGTCATTTTCTGTTAATGGAAGCTCCTCCAAAACATACCAGAAGAATAAAAGCTCGAAATTTGTATTCATAAATTACAAACAAAAATAATTATATTACAGTTTCATATAGCTCATCACAATAAATATTATTCAGCAATCAATTTCAAAGTTCAATTGATCATTTAAAATGGAAATACAAATCTATAAATGTATTACTTGTCTCCATATCTAATTCATTGCATTCATTCCGAAAATTCAAATATTGGAAAACTATGGTAATTATTTATATAATACAGGGCGGTTCAAAATGACGCTGTCATGAAAATTATACAAAGAATCGGGGGACCGTGATTTTCATTTTGATCTAAATTGATTCTTGGTGGTCTAGAAACTTGAGTAGGGTTAATAAAGCAACGTTTCTGAACCAGGAAATTAATAATAAATCTTCTCATCTTTCATCATAAAAAATACCTCTGAAAAAAAAAGAGATCGCGATAAAATCGACGAATTCTTCATGGACGCCATTTTGAAATAGCAATGCGAAAAAAATTCCTTGTTGAAAACGGTGAACAATACAGTTCTCAAAATTCATATTAGATCGGCATTTTTTTATGTTATCAAGGAAAACTTTCTTATACCACTCCACTTAAGACATTGTGAGAAGAATAAAATAAAGGTCCCAATATACAGAGTGTTAATCAAGTATACAGCCAAACTTCAAGGGATGATTTTTTGGGTATTTTCAAGATTAAAATTCATGGTTTTCAAGATACGTACCGTTTTTTTTATCATTTATATTTTTATTATTCCGCAAGAAATATCGAATATCGCGGGTCATGCGTAACTATGGAGAATGGGGAGAGAACAAGTTGTGAAGATACTTTAGCCAATTTTGTAGAAATTTAATAATGCTATATTAGATTGATGAATAATCGATTTTTGATGAGTTTATTCACAAAAAACTACCCCTTGAATTTTAGCCACATACTAAATCAACACCCTGTAATAATGAAGCATAATGAAACACCCTGTATAATCTTTGTTTAGGTTTGCAGTATCCTTTTCACTATGAAAACATACACTTTTTTTTGTATTCCACGTGAACTAGTTAGGCCCATGATTCAGCTACAGAGCAACACAGCGAAAGTCACACGTTTCGTTGTTCGCCATTTACTTCAAAATTGATTGCGAAACATGTCTAGCATCGGTATGTTTTGAGAGAACCGAGTTTTCGAAAAAAAGAATGTTATAAGTAGATAAATTTCCAACACAAATTGTCGTGTTGAAATAATAATTGGGAACACCTAGTTCTAAATAACAGTAAAATGATGATAAAACCCTTTACATAGAACGATTTGTTGAACGTGGTGAATTAATCTGCTTTCACGTAAAAAAAGAAACGAAATAATGCAGTAATATAGTTCGTCTTCAAGAAAACTGCCCTCGCGTGATTTTTTTTTATTGAAGGTTACATTCTGCGCAATGTATAGAACCACTTTTTCACAATAACTTAAAAAAATGTGACACCCAAACCGCGCACCTCTACTCCCTTGTTTCTGGACTTTCTGCAGGTGCCTTTTCTTCCCTCGGTTTCGCCCCGCCGAAAATCGTCATGTTTTGGGTGGAGTCGGCTAATGCATTCACTGGATCCTTAACGGTCCTAGGCAAAAGCTTCAATTTCGGTCTACCAGTAGTGTCTACAAGTAACAGATCCTGTTTCATTATACAATCGCATTCATAAAGTTGGCATCATATCATATGGAATAAACTCTTATTAATGATTTGCTTTCAGATTCGACATGCGCGTTACGTTTTGCTTAGTCACGTGTCATTCGCTATGTGTCAACAGTTACATACTTTCAAATTATTCGCTGAAAATAAGCTCAGTTTTTCGAATTTCAAAAAAGTTTACTGAGAAAAGTTGGTTCTATTCCAATTTTGTATCGAGAAATCCTGTATATGTGATGACTGCATTGAGAATTTATTTTAATGTTGGCTACTTTATGTGGAATGATATTTGTAATTTGATTTCCTGATTATTTGAACAGTATAAACCAAACTATTATGGATTCCTGATGAAATTTCTTATCTAGACGAAACATAGATATATATTCAAATATTATCTAGAATATCTCCATCACTCAAAGATGAATCTTGAAATGAATAAAATACAAATAAAATTTTAACTTGAAGGTATTCTGAGTGGATTTTCATTGTTTCCAAGAAATGAGTAAACTACACTTGGCATCCGCGCCCAAAACCAGTTTTACACCTAAGCATGCTGATAGCTGCGAATTTATTGAGGTTATCGTTTCATAGTTTACTTTTGTTTACGGTTTTTTAGATTATTTTGAATTATTTGCTGTGATTCAAGTTGAATTTCATCTCTATAGGCTAATTATAATCAGTTCGTCAGAATTGTAATATTTTCGGATATCACTGATGGTAAGCAATAAGCTCTAATTTCATTTTCATTCTTTTTCAATTCATTCATTTTTCAGGATATACTCGTTTTCCGCAAGAATATTTCTGAATTGCTCTAGTTTGAAAATATTAATGATTTGATTTGTATAATTGTGCTGTAACAGCAGCTGCTGCATTGGAAATTTCTAAAGACATGTCAAACTCACTATCGCTGCTGCTGATTTCCATAGTTCATTTCGATAATTGCAACCAACAATCATGCAAACTTTGAAAAATCAAAATGTCAACTCATTTCATGTCAAATAGCTGTCAGTCGTTATTTTCTCAAAGAAATAGCGTTCGGGAAGTGGGTACTTCCTGGACGGCTGCCGAAAAACAACTTTCACTCCAAACAGAAAGTAACTTTCCAATGACACTTAACAGATAGCAAAGCAATTTGAATGAAATTGGTAATAAAAATTGACACTGACATAGGGTAAACTCCAAATGATGGAGTTTTCAATAAAAGAATGACACAGAATTGGTTTCATAACATTTGGAGAAAAAAATCTGTTTCACATATCAGCAAAGTAGATTGACTGCCTTGGCTTAATTCCTAGCTTTGCTACTTTTGTTGTGTTGCGGGTTGGATAAGGTGAGCTGAATGATACTCAGGGTCCTGTTAGCTGGTTTTATTCACTATAGAGCAGTTGATGTTGATGGCGATGAATACAGATTGTGTACAGATGTTGAAAATTATAGATGTTAAGTGTTACAAGTCTCGTGGCAAAATCCCCGCATTTTTCTGGCTTTCTTAGTTTTATACGCGACGCTTTCGTCACAGAAACGACGCTCTCATGACATCTATTTTGACCAATAAAAATAAAGAATACAATTTTACTAATCAATAATAAATTCACCTGACAATAGGATGTTCTAAATAGAATTTTGTGTTGATCAGCAATATCGATATCGTTTAATTGGAACAGAGAATTCAGCAGAAATGTAATGTTATACCTAACATTATATGACATCATGTTATCTTTCCTAACAAGTGTATTTGATAAATATTAATGAAGTTCTTCAAATAAGCAACTTGGAAAATTATAGAGTATAATATTTGAATACATATTAATGCTAACCTCGTAGAGGGTGTGAAGTGTAACTTGTAAGTAAGTGTGTATTTTCTCCAGGCGGCATAAGAAGGGGCTTTCTATGACAGTCAACAGGCAGAATAGGTGTACTTTCTCTGCCTATGCAGAAAAATTTTGTTGCTATGCAACTTTTCAAACAATTTGAATGAAATTGATAATGAAAATTGACATTGACATTGGGTGAACACAAAATAATGCGAGTTTTCATTAAAAAAAATTACATAAAATTGGTTATAACATTTGGAGACAAGATTATATCACGTGACAGCAAAGTAAATTGTCAGCCTAGTAAAACAATAGTTATTTATACACCAAGGTAGTAACAAATATCATTATTACCCAGGGACCAAGATTATATCCCAAGGCTTCAGCCGCTTTAGTACCATGGTTAATATTAAATTTTTTTCACCACTAGCAATTTACTTCAATTATTTTAGTTTTGTGAAACCGAAATATGGATCTATTGTTACTATGAAACCACTATCTTCAATAATTAGCCATGTCTTTATTACCCCAAGAAACATAGTTGTTTATAATATGGATACATAGACAATATACATACAGTGTCTTTCAAAAGTATCGGAACGGTCTCATATTTCAGGAACGGCTCGAGAAAAATTCACGAAATTTTTTTACAGGGTGATAATTGATGATGTCCGATTCAATGGTGGCATCGGCAATGTTGCCAAGTTTACAGTTTTTCAGATATTAGGAGTAACTTTATTTTTTCAAATGGAATACCCCATTTATTTTTATTGCAATTAATTAAGCGCCTCCCAATTACTTGAGTCCTAGAATATCAGATTCGTAATCAACGTGATTTTCGAAATATGACAACATAGCATTTTCGTTAAGAAGTTCTCGAACGGTCCCATATTTCAGAAACTGCTCAGAGAAAATTTATGAAAACTTCGACAAGAAGGTTGTTGATGATGCCCGATTCAATGGTGATAACGGCAATGTCGCCAAATAAATAGTTTTTCAGATATTGAGGGTAATTAAATTTTTTCAAATGGAAAACCCTATTTATTTTCGTTGCAATCAATTCAGCTCCCCCTCATTACTTATGTCTTCGAATATCAAATTTTAAATAAGTGTGGTTTTTTAAATATGAGAACACGCTCCGTTGAAATGTCCGCGAACGCTCCAATATTCAATATCTGAAAAACTATTGATTTGGCAACATTGCCGATATCACCATTGAATCGGGCATCATCAGAAACCATCTTGCATAAAATTTCCTGAATTTTCCTTGAACCGTATTGAAAATATTAGAAGGTTCCCAGACTTTTGAACGAAAATGCCATGTTGTCATATTTCGAAAACCACTTCAATTTAAAATCTGATATTTGGAGACATAAGTAATGAGTCGTCGCTGAATGTATTGCAATGAAAACAAATAGGGTATTCCATTTGGAAAAATTGAGTTACCCTAAATATCTGGAAAACTGTTGATTTGGCAACATTGCCGATATCACCATTGAATCGGACATCATCAATAATCACCCTGTAGAAAATTTCGTGAATTTTTCTAAAGCCGTTCCTGAAATATGAGACCGTTCCGATACTTTTGAAAGACACTGTAATGTTAGACATACAATTATGAAATAATGATAGGATATAACAAGTTAAAAAAAATTCAAATAATTATGCAATATCAACCTTGTCTTTCATAAGTAGGTATTCAAATAAGAAATGGAATTATCAAAGTCTCTGAAGCAGATATTTTTTCGAATTAATTTTGAAACTAGTTGCTTTCTGTATATTCCTCAATTGACTTGGTAATGAGTTGTATAGAACGATTCCTGAGTGAAAAATGGATTGTTTGCCGATATTTGACTTATACGTATTTGATATTAATAAATTTAATTGTCTTGTTCCATGAGTATGTAATGAATTAATTTCATTGAAATTTAAATTCGAAATTTTCGATTTATATAGGACAAATTGAATAAAACAACATATTTTGAGTTTGAGAAAGATTTAATTGAAAATACACTTCAATGTTTTATTTTGTAATTTCATTAATGGACTCAAACGTGAAATATTGGTACTTCCCCATATAGATATTAGGTATTGAAATTTTGAGTAAATAGAAAGGAAATAAATACTATTTAAGTATCTAGTAGAAATGAAATTTCGTATTTTGAATAAAATGTCTGTAATGGGATTAAGTTTGTTTCTCAAATGATCTATATGTTTATTCCACAATATTCGTTCATCAATATAAAGACCTAAAAATTTTTTGACATCTGTATATTTGATGAGTTCGTTGTTGAAGGATAGTGTTCTATTCGAAATGTTCAGTGTTCTTTTTGCTATGTACATATATGAGGATTTGTTATAATTTAGAGATAATTTATGAACTTGTAACCAAGAGGATATTTTCTCTAAATCACTTTTCATGTCCATGACGATATTTGAATCTTTGGAGAAATAAATCGTGTCATCTGCAAATAATTAAATTTGCCTCTCAATACCAAGTTTGATATTGAATTTATGTAGATTGAAAATAAAACTGGTCCCAAGACCGACCCTTGCGGTACACCGCATGAGATGTTCATTAAGAAGCTACAAGTACCACTCACATCAACATATTGTTTTCTATTTGATAGATAATTTTGGAACCAATCATGAATTCTTCCTCTGACACCAATTGCAAATAGTTTATTTAATAAAATGTTGTGGTTGACAGTATCAGAAGCTTTGCATAGATCTAATGACAATAAACCGCACTGATCATTTTCATCGATTCGTAATTGGATATCTGAAATAACATCCATATACGTCAGTGTCTTTCGATCTACGGAATCATTACTGACCACTGTATAGCAAATTGTTATTTTACAGGAAATCAAGAAGACGATAATTCGAGTGCCATTCCTGCGCTTCTCTGATTAGAACAGTGCATTCGGGTTAATTGAAACAGAGGTGGCTATGTCTTTATCGACTAGTTGTTCATAATATGATAAAAACTACCTTGGTAGTAAAAACACACTTTACGCCTCGAAAAGGAGTGAATAATGGTAAGTTTTATAAATAGTGATGGAAAAATAACTGTTACCTGCAGCCGGGTTGGGAAGATCTTCCGAGAAGCTCGATCTCTCTGGGCGGGGCCTGCCTCCACCCCCACCGAACCCTCCTCCAGGAGGACCCCCCCTGCCTCTGCTCTGACCGCCCCAATCGCCTCCACGTTGCGGTCCCTCATCACCTGTCGATCACAAAACGGATGTAGTACTTAGTCTTAGTAGTCTTATGCGGAAAGTGGTATTTTCCGCAGGAAATAAGCGTTCCAATGAGTTTTGTACAATATTTTTTCTACGAGCGTGTGGAAGAGTTATTTTTCCACACGCTCCCACACAATTCTTTGAAAATTGATGAAATAAACCTCTGGTGCGCTCACTCTTCATTTGTTTCGTCCTGGTTCTTGATATGAACAATTGAATTTCAGACGATAACGTGGGGTTCACATATTGATTGATTGATTGTCTTTATTACCCCAAGAAACATAGTTTTTCATAATAGGGATACCTAAACAATATACATAATGTTATACATACAATTATGAAATAATGATAAGATATAACAAGTAAAAAAAATGCAAATAATCATGCAATATCAACCTTGTCTTTTATAAGTACGTATTCAAATATGAAATGGAATTATCAAAGTCTCTGAAGCAGATATTTTTTCAAGTCAATTTTGAATCTAGTTGCTTCCTGTATATTCCTCAATTGACTTGGTAATGAGTTGTATAGAACGATTCCTGTGTGGAAAATGGAATGTTTGCCAATATTTGACCTATACGTATTTGCTATTAGTAAATTTGATTGTCTTGATCCATGATTATGTAATGAATTAATTTCATTGAAATTTAATTTCGAAATGTTCAATTTATATAGGACATGTCCCTATCTCAACTTTTGGGTGTGGTTCAAGATTCAGAATTCTGATCATCCTGTGTCTGTTCCGATTGAATATCAGTAAATAGTAAACCAGAAGTTGAGATAGAGCGATATGTGTCGTTTTGGCCGATAATGAAGTTTCGACACAAACAAAACCTAAAGTTGAAAAAATCTCGATTTTGAACACCCTATATCTCATTAATCATTTCCAATAGACACCAATTGTGATATGCATCGATGAAATCAGCTCTTCAAGAAGAATAAAAATACAGGGTATTCTATTTGGAATAACAAAGTTGTTGCTACTTTTTGATCAAAGCAACAGTGCATTGCTGAAAATATTTTAAATGAAGAGAGCGTATTCTAAAATATGAGCATGTATACATATCTTCATGAATTTCTCCCGAATGATTCTCGATATACAGATAGTGTAAGCTCGTCGTGACATACCCTGTATACTATATCAGACAGAATAATCGTTAAAGTAAAACTTGGAAACTCCATGGCCCACTAGCAAAAATTCATCATAGTCTGATGTTTTAGTGTTTTTTAAGATTTCTGGAAATCCTATGTATAAAGTTTTATGCGTCGTTTTGAATGTAATGAAATAAAGAATTCAACCTTGGATTCAACTAAATAATAAAATACATGTATCTCCAAAATCATAACCCCTAAAGAAATTGAGTACGCCACTGAATTCTCCGCAAAATTCTCTGATAGACGTAGTATTCGTAGTAACTCAGCACAACCTTATTTCTTATAACTTCGTAGAGGGCCTGGCAGTCTAACCCAAAATGTACAATCAAATCTGAAACACCCTGTATGTCTCCTTGTGCATTTTACACTCTTCGAGATATTTGCTAGATTTTTTCACTACTTCTGACTGTTAAACTCTTTCAAATCACTAGAGATTTTCGTGAAAATTATATTTTTTAGCCTGTGTTTAATTTTTTCGAATCGTTAGACTTTCGAAAATAATAGTGCCAGTATATCCGTGTTCAATTCTTCATCTTATATCTTGTATACTATATATCTGTTCCCCCTGTATAATTTTATTATCGTCATTAGTCATAAATCAATCATTTGTTCAGAGATTAATCTGTTACCAGCATGATTCAACCTATTATTCATTCATTCGAGACCAGGTGGTAAATCAAGACAGTCTTATATTAGATGTCATCACGTACGGTCGACTTTTCGGATCGCAATTGAAAAATACGCGAAAGGAATTATTTATCTTTCCAAACGGAGTATTCACTTAAAAATGAGTGCGAGTGTAGTGTTTTTGTATCCCTCATTCAAAGATTACATTATCGCGATCGTATGCTGTTCTGGTGTTTCGTGTTTTTTCATCAAAGTTTCGCATTTTTCACGCTGGTGAGTGAATAGAGACTCTCTGTTTTTCCTCATATTTCCCTGTTTAAATTCAACTCAATTACCTTATATGTTTGCAAAACAAGAAACGTCTGTTCGTTGAATACTTTCAAGATTATAATTAGAAACGAGCAAACCAGAAGAAAATAAGACGATTCGAAATTTTATCATGGAAAAATACCTTTTTTCTATACAGGGTGTTTCAGATTTGAATGTACATACTAAACCTGTAGATAGAGGAAACTTTGGTGGTTCCAATCACTCCCTATGGTTTTGTCTTCCATCTTTTACTCGATCTTTTATAATCAATATAAAATACAGGGTATGTCACGGCGAGATTACACTATCATTATATCGAGAATCAGTCGGGAGAAATCCATGAAAATATGCATGCTTATATTTCAGAATACGCTCTCTTCATGTAAGATATCTTCGACAATGCAGTGTTGCCGCTTCTACTAGAAAGGGGTAGCAACATTGATATTTCAAATGGAATACCCTGTATTTCATCGCATTTTCAGATTCTGCCTAATAAAGATCTGATGTCATCAATACATCACACTTGGGGTCTATCAAAAATGATTACAGTCATATGGGGTGTTCAAATTCGAGATTTTTCAACTTTAGGATTTTTTTGTGTCGAAACTATTCATTATCGATGAAAACGGCTCACATGTCCCTATCTCAACTTTTGATTCACGATTTACTGATATTTAATCGGAACAGATACAGGGTGGTTCAAGATTCAGAATTCTGATCATCCTGTATCTGTTCCGATTAAATATCAGAAGTTGAGATAGGGACATGTGCGCCGTTTCGGCCGATAATGAATAGTTTCGACACAAACAAAACCTTAAGTTGAAATATCTCGATTTGGAACACCCTATATCTCTGTAATCATTTCCGATAGACCCCAAGTGTGATACATCGATGAAATCAGCTCTTCTGAGAGAATAAAAATACAGGGTATTCTATTTGAAATAACAAAGTTGTTGCTACTTTTTGAAAGAAGCGGCAACAATGCATTGCTGAAAATATTTTAAATGAAGAGAGCGTATTCTAAAATATGAGCATGCATTTCTTCATGAATGTCTCCCGAATGATTCTCAATATACAGATAGTGTAAGCTCGTCGTGACATACCCTGTATAGTATCAGACATAATAATCGTCACAGTAAAACTTGGAAACTCCATGGCCCACTAGCAAAAATTCATCAAAGTCTGATGTTTTAGTGTTTTTTAGGATTTCTGGAAATCCTATGTATAAAGTTTTATGCGTCGTTTTGATTCAATAATAAAATGCATGTATCTCCAAAATCATAACTCCTATAGAAATTGAGTACGCCACTGAATTCTCCGCTAAATTCTCTGATAGACGTAGTATTCGTAGTAACTCAGCACAATTTTATTTCTAATAACTTCGTAGAGGTGCCTGGCAGTCCAACCCAAAATATACAATCAAATCTGAAACACCCTGTATGTCTCCTTGTGCATTTTACACTCTTCGAGATATTTGCTAGATTTTTTTCACTACTTCTGACTGTTAAACTCTTTCAAATCACTAGAGATTCTCGTGAAATAGTTATTTTTGTATCTAGAGCGCGAAATGCTACTTTGGTGATCGAGATCTGATTTTTTCAACGAGGCGTAGCCGAGTTTAAAAAATAGTCGAGATGACCAAAGTATTTCGCGCTCGAGTTGCAAACAACATTTTTTCTACAAACGTCAAAAAATATAGTTCTAAAGTTAAAATATGCTTAGCTTGATATAAAGAATAGTGTTGAACTGACTTGAAAGGCCTCTCCCTGTCCTCCCTAGGAACGCACGATGTTCCACGAACATGATAGGAATTTCCTCTCGTGCGCTCCAATAGATGAAACAAAGTTATTGTTGAACATTCAGAAATTAATGATTTCGTGAATGTTTGCCCGATTGACGACCATAAAGTTGAAATCTAAATATCTAATATATTTTACATAACAATGCGCGAAGTAGGTACTTCGCGCACTGTTTTACTTCGCGCATTGTTTTGTGCAAGGTATCATGGGGTAACGTAGGAAACTGAAAAAAGTGTCACTTCGCAATTTGTTACCAATGCGCGAACCTTGTCATTTTTTGACGTTTGTAGAAAAATTATATTTTTAGCCTGTGTTTAATTTTTTCAAATCGTTAGACTTTCGAAAATAATAGTGCCAGTATATCCGTGTTCAATTCTTCATCTTATATCTTGTATACTATATATCTGTTCCCCCTGTATAATTTTATTATCGTCATTAGTCATAAATCAATCATTTGTTCAGAGATTAATCTGTAACCAGCATGATTCAACCTATTAGTCATTCATTCGAGACCAGGTGGCAAATCAAGACAGTCTTATATTAGATGTCATCACGTACGGTCGACTTTTCTGATCGCAATTGAAAAATACGCGAAAAGAATTATCTATCGTTCCAAACGGAGTGTTCACTCAAAAATGAGTGCGAGTGTAGTGTTTTTGTGTGCCTCATACAATTCAGTGATCATATTATCGCGATCGTGTGCTGTTCTAGTGTTTCGTGTCACTTCGTGTTGTTTCATCAAATCTTCTCAATTTTCACCCTGGTGAGTAGAGAAATTCTCTCAAGTTTTCCTCATATTTCCATCTTTCCTCTTTACTTTCAACTTCATTACCTTATATGTTTGAAAATCACAAAGGTACCGCTTGTTGAACATTTTCTGATGAAGGAATACTTTCTTCTGATCTTCGTGCTTTCCGTTCAGAACTATATTTTTTCAGAGAAGATAATAATGTGAAAAGAGCAAACCAGATAAAAATAAGACGATTCGAAATTTTCATGGAAAAATACCTTTTGCCTATACGAGGTGTTTCAGATTCAAATGTACATACTATACCTGCAGATATAGGAAACTTTGGTGATTCCAATCACCCCCT